CTAATTACAACAAAAGCATTAACACCGTCCGGTTTTAATTTTGTGCTAATTAAACGAGTCGGGATTTGGTGTGTATGTGTGAAAAACCGATTGGTGTCAAGACATGACAATAACGACAATACAAGTCAGTAACAAGAATACAACTTGTACTTATTGTAAAATGAAACATTCATTAATACCCTACATAAAGAAGAAAAGTATCGTTAAAAGGAAGTATGAAAAAACGGCACTTTATCCAGAATTTAAGATAAGGTTTCACCAGAATTTTTCCCAGAATTCAGAATTTAAACTCAACCGCTATGGACGTCCTTTGGGACAATACATCACGACAAATCCTGGTTGTGTGTGATGTGTAACTAGAACTATCTTAGAGACTTAGTTGATTGAAAGGAGTATTGGGTGGGTCGTCTGTTGTCGAACTTTAAGTCAGTTGCGTAACACACCGTTTAAATGTTTTTCCATCAGACTAAACATCCAAATGTTCCCGAATTCATTTTCCGGAGTGTTCCAACATTCTTTTCTGAGACATGTAGAATGTAGGGTATCGGATCGAGAGGTCCACCAAGGGTTGGACCCCCCGGGTTTCTAGCGTCCCCCGCGGGTCGGGAGTCTACTAAACTCCCCGGTTTATATATTATTTATATTTATTATATATATATATGATATGATATATATAAAAAAAAAATGTATATTAAATTTCGTTATGTACTAACAGGTGATTTCGGAACAGAGAATGTAATGTTATTTTATATATGTTTTATTAACTAATTAATTAACTTTATTGTTAATTTCAAATTCAATCGATAATTTCGTATTTTCTGTCTTTCCATTATTAAAGAAGGAAATTATCTTTACAAAAGAAGACGGGCGTCACAAGGTTTTGGCCACGCCCTCGAACAGACCTATTCGCGTAAAAATTTTTGTTATCCAGTAACGGGTACGGCCAAAGTCAAACCTAATAAACCACAGTGGGTCAACGAGGCGTGTCTAGCCAGAGGAGGTAAAACATCTAATAATGCTGAAAACTTAGGTGTATTTGTGTGTAGGCGCGTTTTAGGCGGAATGAAACTCGTACACAAAATTTTTGTCAACTTAGAGGGAAACACTTAACAAAGGTGAAGGCGCGGCCAAGAAATTAAAAGAAAGTATGTCGCCCTTAGGTTTACTTAATTAGAAACCTCAAGGTTATTGGTAAGTTTCAGTGAGGTTATCACGAGGGAATTAATCCGAAGTAGGGAGGAAATTTGTTTAAAAAATATGAGGTGTAAGTAAATCCAAACACTGTCATCAACAAATCGTAAACTCTGAATAAATTTGCAAATTACATGGGCGACAACAAAGGGGGGGGCGGGGGACCTAGGGGGGGTTGGGTGGCCACACACAACAACACCCCCCGCGAAGAACCCCTTTTCTTCCAAACCCCTTGTGGACCGGGATTACCTAGTAGAGTGAAGTAGGGGGCGACCGGGTGGGTTAACTTGGTTGGGGTAGGCTAGATACAGCACTATCGTTATTACTGGAAGATTTGCAAACTGTTGTGGGCCACGACGTTGCGATGTTTTGTGCAGGATGGGAAGATCGATACATACTGACTCAAACGTGACGGTTTGCATAGCATACAATTGAAGTGTACAAGAGAAAAAATCTCACGCCTCAACTAAATGTCGACATGACGTCATGTGATGTTCTTTACGTAGCGAACGATCGGACTGTACGCCGTGGGTAGAGAAGACCGGTTGGATACTTTAGGTGGTCGACCGGATGTTAGAAGTTGTGTCGTATTACGATCGTCGTCACTCGTTGCGTGTCTCGGACGAAGTAGTGACGTTGGTCTTCCGTGGTGGGTGCGATTACTACTCTCTCGTGCCACAGTTGACCCTCACCTCCGCGGCCTCCTCTATATCTTCCAGATGCCCTTTGCGCTGTAACACTTGGACGGGGCTGCTGGGCGTATAGGTTGTTATCTCGCTATATAAGTTAGGCTGACTCGTAGTCACGGGTGGTTCATATCACGGTGCTCCGTTCTTTTGCTTCGCTACGGGGTCGAGATGGTGGGTGGGGCGATCATCAGGCTCTTCCGGTAATCAGGATGTAGACTCAGATAACGATTCGGTTTTGTTCGTAGCGTGTTTCTCAGATTTCGCGCTCTCTCGCTGCACACTCGAAATCACATGGGACCGGTCCGTATATGATGAACTGAAGTGGATAACGGCTTACATACGACCAGTGGTTCTCAGTAGATAAGAGAGAGAGAACGCTAGGTAAAGTAGTACTCGAGCATGTCGAAGCAACACAAGTTTAGTTTTTATACCTTTTCCCTTGCAATAGCCACCTCTCCTAGTTCTGATTTTCACAACCTGCTGTTTACGCGATACAACGCGCTACCACTCAACATGCACGTAACGCGTTAAGTACAATTGGTTCTCTGGTTTACAGAAAAACGACAGCTAAAACCACTCAGTGTAACCGGTCAACACAGATACAATTATTATTTAGCTTTGCTAGGTTGTGACAGTGCACTAGAACATATTTGATCTAATTCATTTTAGTCTAATTTATTTTTATTTATCATATTTATATATGTTTAGTAGCTTGTGGAAGTGCCCTCCAAAATATTTGTTGATCTTGTTTATTGGTATTTATTATTTTGATATTATTTATTTAAATGTCTCATTTATTTAATTAATTTTTGTATTGGTTTTTCAGTTGAATTATACTTTCAGGGTAATCAACAGTTAAAAAGATACTGTTCAAATTATACACATTAGGTTTTAAAGTTCAATAAATTGATGTTTTCAAAGTCAATGAATAATCGTATTTAATAATCGTGATATCAATTATTGACCAAAAATAATCGTGATTATGATTTTTGCCATAATCGAGCAGACCTAGTGTGTGTGTGTGTTTGTTAATTAATTAATTAATGAGAACCTTTTTACCCCCTTTTCCGTCCCTGCTTTCTCATGTGAGAAAAGAGCTATATTTCTGATTGGCTGGGCGGATTGCAAACCACGCCCCGTAAAACTAAAAAAAAGTGTTGTGAAGCCACCATTTTATTATCCTCGCATTAGCATTATTATCCTCGCATTAGCATTAGCCCAGCGCAGAAACGCAGAGACTAATTTATGGCAACACAAAATAAAACATGGGAGCGGTGGAGATGAGGAGGTGTCGGCGTTCTGGCGAACTTAGTTCATCAGAACTAAAGAGTTCGGATGAACTAAGTTCTCATGAACCTTTGTGGGAAAAGTACTGCGGTGTGAAAGCGCCTCTTGATACATCTATTGAGCAAAAACTCTGATCATGGTATGAAAGAAAGTCGATTTTTAGTGTTTTGCAAAATCTCAGATCATTTGGGATGAGATAGGCGCTGGAAAAATAATTAAACTTTCAAGTAATTGCTTTAGATTTGGCTCAAAATTAAATGTTCTGCTGGAGTGCAACGCCTGAATAAGGCAGTGTTAGTAATGTGATTTCTGTACACTCTTTACAGTTGGTCTTTACATTACACGTGCACATTTTAGCATTAATGTAGCACAGGTGAATTATTTAGCTCAATCTCCTAGTCTTTGTGTTATCACCAGGGTCCTTTTGCACATCAATAACAGTACACAGGAAATACTACATCACATGGCACTACAACTCTAGGAATGATTCAGCTGTATGTAAGAATGAGAGGTGAGTATGTGTATGATTTAATTGTGTGTACATGCAAGTTTGTTTGTGTTCTGAAGGAAAGGGTCAGTGTCCCAGTAAACCCAGATTCTCTATAGGCTTTTTTTCAACTTTACACACATTAGGTTGGGGCCATTGAAGTGAATAGTTATTCTGTTCCTATTTAATAAGATGGAAATCAACTTTTGAAATATGTATTATGTTACAATGTGATGAGAGTAAACAGTTAAGATAAATATGTTACTATGTAATACAATGAAGACATGGGTTTTCTTCTCTTCTCCTTGACAATGGAATAAAATGCAGCTTTGTTATGCTTGGACATCTGGTTTAAATGAGTATACTGTTTGTCTGCACACGACCCTTATCAACGGCTATTATCAGCCTTATTATTATTACCTTATTATCGGCCTTATCAACTCGAGCTACCAACGAGCTATTTTGATTTATCCATTTTGCTTTTACAATTCTGTTATACAATTGAACAAAGGGCAAGTGGATGATACTGTTCACTTAAGGGTAAAAATGTACATTTTGGTGGCTTGAATTGATATTGCCGTTAAACTGTCGACGATGGGGTGAGTGGTAACCTAACGGTTTTACGTTGGCACTCTCTTGTCCACCATGTTTAAGTAAACTGCAGTAGTTTGATAATTGTTGACTTAAGAAATAATTCATAGCTCATTTTAAAAAGGACAACTTTAATTTCTAAACAAAATGTATCCCTCGTTCAATACTCACTACATTGACAGACTAGTAACATAGCTAGTTAGCTATTATTAGCTCTAACTATAGCTAATAGCTTATAATAGCAAACTTAAGTTAACTAACATTAGCTAGATTTTACAGTGTAGTGTGTCGCTTAGTGTTTATTTGACTGAGTCAATTAAATTACCTAGGACCTTTTCTCTAACAAAACGTTACAGGTACTACTGTTAAACTAGATTGTGGTAACTGTCATCCCCTTTGTGCTAAATGATAAATTGAGCAAGTATAAATACATCTCTTTTTCTTAGCCATATTTCCATATCGTCCAAAGCAGTTCATTCCATATAAAGGTCAATATGAGAGTATTTCACGATTTATATTTACGTTATCCATTTTTATAGAGTGATAAAATACAATTTAATTGACATCAGTTGTACTTCAATTTCTGTACCCAGAGTCCAGTACGCGCGTTCGCATCTGATCATACGATGCGCGGCCCCGTGGCTCAATTGAATGAATTGAATGGGAAACAAAACCTTAAACAAGCCACAGAGCACATGAGCGGAAGTGTGACAGTTGATTTTTCAAAAAAGAGATTTCAGATCAGACGCAGGGCAACTAGTGATTTGGTAATACAATTTTTTTTTAAAAGGTTAAAAATCATCATTACAATTTCCTCTGCTATGAGCGGTTAAGCTTTTAAGCCTGACCCTGGCATTGTTTTTGTTAGACCATATTTGTTTTAATAAGGGTAACTTTATTAAATGTAAACATCTCATTCATCTTACCTTTATTCGAACATCTTTTATTTTGAAAGCAGCAAACGGAAGTAGCACCTTCTTCATCCCTTCTATGGCGCTCTATGGCAGCTGTCCTCTTCTATGCAACATTACCTCCGCAGACTAGCCGAAAAATAATGACCAGTGAGCCGCAGCCCGGACCCGGAGCAGCGGTCACCTGCTCTGCCGGAGAACCGTGAGCATGCCCCGGCTTGGAAAACATCTCCCCAGCCTCTCAGACAACCATTCAAGATGTATTTCAACCGGAGAGCCAAGAAGATACACACCGAGGGGGGTAAGCCAAAAAAACAACAACAAACACCTTATTTAATCTTTGCACAGTTAACGCTTTCACGAGCCTTTTAATTCGAGATCTGTCATCTGACATCGCAAGATCTCTGTCTCAGTGTTGATAACAGGCTATCGGGCCTGTACACAATCGTGCGTATTTAATGTGCTTGGCATAATAACGGGATTTGTTCGGAACTGCGGCATGCATGCGACTTGCTGTACCGGTATCTACCCTCCAGTCTCGACTTTTTTTTTGGCAGAGGATGCAAGGGCAAGCGGACTGCAGGTGTCTGCTTCAGATGGCCCGGTATGCCCTTTATGTGAATTGGCAATCTTACATAAGATAATACAACATGTGTGTTCCTGCTAGGATGAGAACGAGTATCGCGTGACCTTAAAACTCACTAAAATAGAATATAATGTATTTCCCATGACATCAATATGGTAACAGATAGTTGTGTTGCAACAGCCCCTCGGATCCAGGCCACCTGAATGAAAACATGGGATTTTCTTATGGGTTGATTCGACTGGCTTAAATATTTCTATAATATACAGTATATATTCGAAGGAGTTATACATTATCTCTCAATAGAGTACACTGTATTCCTCATGGCATCAATATGGTATTAGATAATTGTGCTGCAACAGCCTCTTGTACCCAGAACATATTGGAGATTTTCTTATGGATTGACTCGCTTACATTTTTATAAAATAAATATGAAGGATTTCTATGCATTTGAAATCCCAAGCTCATATAGATCATTCCAAGAACAGCCTATTTCGTAGCCCCACGTGACCGTCTGGAGAGCACACCTGACCTGAAGGCCATCAACATCCTGTTTCAACAACACAGGTTTCTACACCTGTTTTCTACTAGATGCTATTTGAACCAAAGCTGTTATTTTTGACTCCCCATGACTGAGTGTTTAGTGAGGGATACTTTTTGGGAGGAAATGCTTCATATTTCCCCAGGGAAGGAGCTAGAAACACAAAGCTGCATCGGATGATTTCACACATCACAAACAGATGTCGGAATGGAAGAGAGGAGCGTGTGTTTTGCTCATCCAGTGGCTTTTAATAGTGACTGGCACATATTGTTGTGCTTTGCTGATGTGTGTGTTTGTGTGTGTACTGTATATGTGCGGCTGCATGCCTCACGCAGCTTCCAGAAATAGAAAGCAGGGCAAATTGTGAGAAGAGATGAGCGCCAACTGGGCCACACTGTCCTCAGGCCAGAGGTTCTCTCATACATATATATATACTTTTTCACAGGTCAAAGGTTAAAAGCATTCAGCATCCATTTCAAATATAGAAGCATACATTTTTCACAGTATTGTTACAAGCCATTATATCTTTTTGTAGAATAGAATATCAGATGGTCTCACCGCTGTTATATTTACCTACGCAGAGCTTAAGTGCTGACTTTCACTAGTTAATTTCTTGTTTGTATTGGAGCAATTGTCGTGGGGCTTCCAGTAACTCGACTGGATACTGTTCTGCTTTCTTGGAACTGACGAGTGTTTACTACTGCCAAATTTATAGCATGGGTGTGAAGGGGAAGCACGAGTGTCATATTGCTGCCTTCACTGTGACCTCATGTATCCTGACCTCTTTAATCTTTGCTCCAATTAGCAAACTTCCGACCTGCCATACCCCGGGTGACGTCTGCAGCTACCAATCTCTCACATTAGGCTTGTTTGAGATAAGCGAGACCGACGCAGACCTGCCCAATTGCGATCAACGTCTTGCTCGTGCGTTGCAGGATGGTTAGTCATTTTGTCCGACTTGCTCTGGAGGCTCGCCTACATGAGACGTTGAAATCTTGCGGGACAAAGACGCCCGCAGCCTTGAGAGCGAGGCGCGGCGAGGCGGCGCAGTTCCTCTCCACGGGCTGCGGAAGCGAAATGCTTGATGGGAAACGACTCGCTGGTATCTCGAGCTGAGCGCTCATTGGTGGTTTTTACCACGTGCTGGTGATAAAACTCTCCAATTGGCTCGGCAAAAGTTTGTTGTTGTTTTGTGTCAGTTTTACGTTGCCACTTCCATTCACATTTTTACTCATTGTTCCACAATGTTTATCATCATGAAATTAATATCTATATATTTTATACTATACTTGGACTGCTTACCGTTTTCATACTTTATATATCTTAGCATATTCATACACACTGTTCATACTGCTCACAGGCTGCTGTGTATATTCATACCCCTCACTGTTTATTCATCATTCAATTCATTCTATATTTTATTCTGTAGATTGTGTACATTACTTTTCACTTTACTGCTTGTTGCACTCCTGGTTGGAAGCTAAACTGCATTTCGTTGTGTCAGTACCTGTAATATGTGAAATAANTTATTGAATTACAAGATTAGATATACTTTAGTTGATCTAAAATATTGATGTGTTCAAATGCTCTTCAAAACACAACCGAAAGTCCATGAAACTTGTCTTTCTGTATTTGTGAATGAAGCGCCATCTCCTGGTTAAAACCTGAAATTGAAAATCTGGCAACGCCCTCTTGGAAAATAGTGGGAGGGCTTAAAATTCCTCTATACTGGTCTTTGGCAGGTCGTAGGCAGGAAGATGTAAGCTGGAGTCCGAAATTCAGTGCTACATCTGTACATGAGACGTTGAAATCTCGCGGGACAAAGACGCCCGCAGCCTTGAGAGCGAGGCGCGGCGGCGCAGTTCCTCTCCACGGGCTGCGGAAGCGAAATGCTTGATGGGAAACGACTCGCTGGTATCTCGAGCTGAGCGCTCATTGGTGGTTTTTACCACGTGCTGGTGATAAAACTCTGCAATTGGCTCGGCAAAAGTTTGTTGTTGTTTTTTGTCAGTTTTACCTCGCTACTTCCATTCACATTTTTTATCATTGTTCCACAATGTTTATCATCATGAAATTAATATCTATATATTTTATACTATACTTGGACTGCTTACCGTTTTCATACTTTATATATCTTAGCATATTCATACACACTGTTCATACTGCTCACAGGCTGCTATATCTAGTGTATTCATACCCCTCACTGTTTATTCATCATTCAATTCATTCTATATTTTATTCTGTAGATTGTGTACATTACTTTTCACTATACTGCTTGTTGCACTCCTGGTTAGAAGCTAAACTGCATTTCGTTGTCTCAGTACCTGTAATATGTGCAATAACAATAAAGTTGAATCTAATCTTGATCAGGAATAAATGTATTTACTTAGTACATATCTGACATTAACGATTAAACACATTTGTGCATTCTTCATAAATGCAAACCAGGTCAAGCCGACTCCGGAGGTGGCGGTATGCACCTTAAAGTTGTTTGCAATCCGCCAAAAAACCGAGAGAAGAAGAAGAAGAAGAAGAAGAAGAAGAAGCCGACTCCGAGCTGTCCGACTTCAGGCGAGCTTTTTGAGACCTCCCCCGGCTGCGATCGGCTATTCTCGTCTACTTTCGAGGCGAGCCGCAGCTCGTCTCAAACAAGCCTAGTAACTCTGAAAGAGATCATTATTTTATTTCATTTTCATTTGAAAAGACATTAAAAAAAAAAACTAGCTTTAGATAGCACGATATACGAAAACAAGTATTTAAGTTATAAAACAAATAAAAACAGCATTGGTCAGCCCTTAGGATTTATGTTTAAGTGTAAGAGCACATCGCTCCCTTTGTTGATATCATTCGTTTGTGCAAGTCATGCAGCTCAGCCAACCATCAACAATGCATCTGTTTGGGAAAGATAATGCCTGGTAGTCATGGCTGCCAAGCAAACGAAGGTGTCATTGGGGAGATAGTGAAACCCAAGTAAATTGCAGCAATGATGTACTTACAAAGGTTGAACACAGGGGGGCACTTCTGCTCAAGCTAAGTCCATTCTGTGTGCATCTCTTCAGAACTACAGCCATGAAAATCATTTCACTATTAATACATCCATCACAAGCTATATTTACATTAGAGTGATTGACACATTGTGTTTATTGACATCTTGTCTTGTGTGTGTGTTGTTTCCTCCTGCCGCGGCCTCTCTGGTGCCCACAGAGCAGTTAGTGTTGACCACCCTTAGGCAGGAGGCTTCTGACCTGCAGGACCCAGGCCAAGGGGCTACTTTGTCTGCCCGCCTCACGGACAGGTTTGACAAAAGTGAGTTTGCTCGAATTAGACTGGATGACGCCACATTTGTGTCCGGAGTCCTTTTAGGTGCATGGCCACCAGCTAGAGGAGCAGGTGTCTCCAAACCCCCGGCCCTCAAGAGCTACATGTCCTGCTACGTCTCTGGTTCTTATCTGACATGATTTCCCTGCTGCGGACCCTGATAATCTGTAGCTCCTCTGGGCCTGGAGGGATTAATGCAGAAACCTTCCACCGCATGTGCTTCAAGAAAGTGGGGTCATGTCAGTTAGAGGTGGGAAGTAACTAAGTACATTTACTCACTGTACTTAAGTAGAATTTTGAGGTACTTTACTTGAGTATTTCCAAATGTATGCTACTTCTACTCCACTACCTTTTTAAAAGGGACAGTGTAATTTTACTTCACTACATTTATTTAACAGCTTTAGCTACTTTTAACAAAATGCATCTCTAAAAATAAAATTAGTAGACTAACTCTTTAAGTCAAATATTTTAAAGTTTACAACATTAAAATGCTACTTGATGCATTATCTAGAAATATCACATATATAATTATATACACATGTTAAGACCATTTCTCTGCACAATGATTACTTTGACTTTTTATACTTTAAGTACATTTTGCTGATAATACTTTTACTTAAGTAAGGTTTTGAACACAGCCCTTTTTACTTGTAATGAAGTGTTTTGACACAAATGAATTACCGTAGTACTTTTACTCAAGTAAAGCATCCGAATACTTCTTCCACCACTGATGTCAGACCATGCCAATGACGACAGATTGATTTCACTGGGCACATTAAGCTAGACTTTTATTACCAACACACATGCATGCAGTAGAACACAAAACACATCAGTGTGTGTGTGTACATGGCATGTCTATATACAGCATGTACATGAACATGGCTGCATGCGTGTATGACACATAAGTGGATTTAGAGAGAAGGCTCGTTGGTTAGAAGCATGTCATATTGCAAGTTTTTCTGGCTTCAAACCCTGTATGTTCACCCCTATGTGTGCTAGCCTGGTCCCATAAGTCAGTGTGTGTGTGTGTGTGTGTATATTTGTGAATATGCTTACATTTGTGTTGTGTGTGTGTGTCACCTGTAGGATTATCAGGTTATATATTAGCAGCAGGTGAAGTTGCAGAGCAGACACAGAGGGGATTATCCTGCTCATTACAGTGGCTTCTTAAGAGGCTTTCTTGCCTTACTTTTTACTCGGAGGCAAATGGAGCCACTGGGACCGCCTGAGGCTAGTTCGACCAAGAGCTGCTCGTAGGGGCCTGCGGGTCGGGGACGGGACAGCCATGGGACGTGGAAGTCAGCCGGACCGACGACGCTCCGTTGGTAATGCTATTCTAACCACACAGCAGGGTCGTAGAGGGAATATCTCTAGTGTTTCCTCACGAGATTGAAAGGTTTTGAATCAGCGTTTAGCTCAAGAACACGCTGGCAGGCTCGTGGCTGTCGGGGTATTAACACCTGAGACCTTGCTGTTACGGGGCAATGACTTTGCGGCCATGTTGCCAACTGTGGAAAACAAAATAGCTGGGATGCTCTCTGATTGCCATCGTGCAATTTTATTTATTACATTTTTGACAGTTTTTAAGATAACAGAAATGTGTAAACCGCCAGCATCTATCCTACGTTACTTAAAGGTCCCATGTCATGGCCATTTCTACTGATCATAATTCCATTGTTGAGGTCTACTAAAATAGATTTATACTGTGCAATTTTCCAAACTCACATTGGTTTCTCAAACAGCATCTCTGTAAAGTATGTGTATTCACTCTCTGTCCTAAACGGCTTGTTGGAGCTCCTGCCCCCCCCTCCCTATGAGCCCAGTGGCCGTCTGCGAGACAGCGAAACCCAGCCCGAACACACACACACCCGCAGCCTGGCTGGGAGTTTGTGTGTGTGCTCACACACCGACTCACAGCCTTGCCGCGTCCCGCCGTCTCAGGGAGGAGAAATCGGCGGAGCTGCAGCTGAGAAAAGATTGAGTGTGTGTGTGTTAGGAAGTCTTAACGTAACGGCTCCAGGGATTGATCTATTTGGAGCAATGGGTCCATTTGGGTATGGGCACGTTACAGAACCCAGGAAGAAAACAATGGAAAAAGAGAAATCCCCAACGAGGAGTTCTGGGGCAGCATAGACAGGTCTTCTCTGTGTTAGAGTTTTACTCACTACAGGGTGTACTTTGAGGGCTTTGACTCTGCAGACCGTTTACATGCAGAAAAGGCTTCATAACACACAAGGGGACGGGTAAGAACCAGAAAAGCATGACATGGGACCTTTAAATCAAATGTATTTTACACAAATGTATGAGGTCAGTTGAAAGCAATAATATTAAGTTTAGATAAATATTATATTAGGTTCAACTTAACATTATTACTTTCAACCAACCCAATACAGTTATGTGACATTTCTTAACATAATACATATAATTAAAAGACAGCATTTCAGTTTTTTCATTTAATCTTGTCGGGTGCTTCAACAGCTGGGGATGACTGAAGCTATTCTTCTGTGACTGCTGTTTTGATTATTTCCTTTCTGGCTCATTTAGTTTCCACTCTGGTTGAGGTGATTGAATGAAGTGCATTAAACATGATTCAATTAAACATGTAAGCCCCGAAAGCTTTTATTTATGCCATTTAAAAGCACAATTCTGGCAAGTCTGTGCTAATTAACGCGGCGGCTGTTTCTTGAGTCTTGGCACCGAGGCACAGCTTCTGGTGAAATATGCTCTGCCATACTGGAAAATGTGGATGAATTATGCAGCCTGTCTCTATCAATTATTCAGCAGCCAGCTTGCTTTTTAGCAGGAAAACTTTGGCTCCAGTCCAGGGAAACTTTGGGCTCAGCCCACAAACCAAAAGTTAATACTCCATTTTAAGATATTATGAAGTGAGAAATCTTCAAATCACATGCATGATGGATTTAATTGTCTTTGTTTTCTTTGCCCTTGTTCTTCGTAAGGGAACAGGTGATTTTATCGGCCCATTGTGTAAAATTTGTTTGCTTTAATAGGCTTCTAATGACACAACTATATGTTAAGAGAGATAGTAAAAGGGCTGTTAAGCTTCCCTTTAATGGACGGATGTTTGGCTTATTAATGTTGTTTAGAAGAAAGGGGACACGTGTTGTTTACGCCTCACCAACCAAGTGGGTGTTTGGTAGAGCAGGGTATGAGATCAAAGAGTTTGTCGAGGTTCGGATCGGTCTAGTCTTACCTGTCCTGGTCGCAGGTTATCGGACCTATATGGTACCTGGATGCTTCACGTGTAATTGACCTGGCTGTGACTCTGCTGGGGTTTTCTGCTGACTCATCGGTGGCGCGTTGGTAATGAGTTAGGTTGACTGCGCTCCATCAGAAATGAGTAACCGAGGCATTGATCCCACCTCACAAATGAATCAGAGCTGAAGTGGGCTGCTGAGAAAGCCGCAATTGATCTGCTCAGAAAGGTAGAGGGTTAAAAGTGGAGGTAATAGCAAAAACAAGAATAAGCAACCAGGTAGAGGAAGAGTAGACCATCAATAACTCCTAAGTGGTTACAAGCCGATCCTTCTACAGTATGAAATCATTAAGAGAAGTTCATGAGATGGAGAGACTGACCTTTATTAAGACTAAGAAACAACTGGTGTCCTTGAAGATGGTTGAAATGTTTAAAATATATCTCGAAATGAATATGATTGTGAATATACCCTGATCAATTACTATGGAGAAAACTAATTCTATTAACCTTGAGGACGCTTTGCAGTTATCCATAATACTCAGGAATATTTCTCGTAACTCTAGATCACACACGTGCTGAAGTTGCTTGTTTATTGTGTCGTTTGCTGTTTATTGTCTGGAAAAAATCAATAAAGTCGGAGTGTAAAAAAGAAAAAGGAAACCCTGAGAAAAGATCTGAACAGGATTGCTTCGTGATAGGACCGCGATCACAATGTTTGTCACCCTTCACTACCTTTGACCTTCTATCATCTTCAGTCATTTCCACAATCACCTGCTATCTTGATTGACCTCAGTGCCATTCGCAGTGTGGAGTGCAGGGCTGAGATTGTGACTTATAGCTCTGTTAGGTGCAGGGGTAATAGCCCAGTCAGAGTTATAGAGAATGAGGGATAGGCTGATTATCATTCTGCTTGGATAGACTTTGACCCTTGCTCTCTCGGCTTGGTTTGGTGAAGCACTAAGGTTTCTAGTTTTTCAGAATCAGAAATCAAAATCTGAATTTCTTTATTAGTCCCACAGCGGGGACATTTACAGTGTTATAGCTAAAGTGGCCTAGCATGTTAAAAGGGCATGCAATAATAAAAGAAAAGCAGACATAAGTAATACAATCGACATAAAGACAAACAACCATGGTTAAAAAAGGGTAGCAGCAATTTAAAGGTCACCTATCATGCTATTTTTAGGCAATAGCATAGGTCTCATATATATACAAATATATAAAAAACATGTCTATGAACAGATCACCCATTCTAGCCTCATATCCCTCTATTTCACTTCCTGTTTCAAAAGTGCTGATTTTGGGTATAAAGCTTTAAAAAATTGATTAATAAAAAAGGAGGGGTCTGAGCTCATGCGGGACCCGGCAGCTACTGTCTAAACTAAATACTGCCGTGATGAAACGCCATATCATGGATTATCAAGGATTCTCTCTGAAACAGTATGGAGCTCAAAGGCTTTCTCTCTTGCCGGTTATACCACAAGGTGAGTTCCTTTTTACTTCCTGCTTCTTCACACACATGCTCTCCAGTACAGGTTAGCTCTGAGTGTTAGCGATGCTAATGTAAACACCGACCATATTACGTCCAAAACAGTCGGGCATTGTTTCTGATAGCAACGTTTCTGATTGGGCCGTGGGTCCACATTTCAGATATTACGTCATATCGGACGCAAATCTGGATCAGCTCCGTTGTAGCCCCGTTTTTAGAGATGTGGGTACGGAGGAAAAGAGAGAGGGTTTTATTTTCTGACGCTGCGTGAGTTCCCTGACACACCGGGGACACATGTTTATGTATAAAAGATATCAAAAAGTGCATTTTGCATGATAGGTCCCCTTTAAGTAAAACTAAGTGCTGAAACGGCATTAAAAAAAGTTTTTAAGACGTATTTTATAAAAATAGGTATTTCTTACATATAAGTGATTATAGCACTGTGCGATTGCAAATAAGTGTTTGTATTGCACATTGCAGGTTTATGGCACTTTAACGGTGATGTCGGTCTTTAAAATTGTGGAATGACTATGAATTTTAGTACAATTTAAAAAGTGGACTTTTACCTCTAATAAATACTAAAGAAATTGTCTGGCTTGGATAGAATAACCTCCAGATGCACTTCAAAGTGTACTGTACACGTTTCCGGTAAACACACACAACTTAATGTCTCTTTCTATGCTAAAGTGGAGTTCTGATGTGATTATACTGCATCCAGTATAGATAAACCTGGCAGTTTTTCGTCTGGGTCGCTTTACAATTAATCACCTGCTTCACAGCGGCAGACTTGAGTGGGATATAATGATATTTTGGTTATTGAGGGGAGAGAAAGGCCCGGATTGTAAAATGCCGCAGAAAAAGAGTTTCAAGACTGCGGAAATTCAATCTGCTAAACCCTGGCAGTGCTTATTCGTTTCTAAATTATTTACGCAATTAGCCTGTTGTTGTTTTAACTTACAGCCTCGCTCACAGACATACCAAGAAACTAGAAGATCCCACAAAAATAAGAATTACACTTCAGCTCTCACAGCTTGTAGGCTGGAATGTAACTTAGTAAATGTACTCAATATACCTAACAAGTCATGTTGACATAATTGTACTTTACTATCTAAAATCGGCTTAACATTCACAAACTAAAACATTAACAGGCTCTTATGGGTTTGTTAGTGATAAAAACACAGGATAATATAGTTTTCCATACTAATATAACACTCTGCATACTGATTGCTTTTAGTTTAAATAATTTAAGTATATCAAGCTGCTAATACTTCTGTACTGCTACTTCGGTAACCTTTTAATTCAGGACTTGTAATGGAGTATTTTAAGACCATAGTATTACTATTTCCACATGTACTTAATGCTCTGAGTACTTTTCAACCTCTGCTTGTTGACATAGCATTATCAGACAGGATGTGACCTGTTTCCCAGTAAATGCACTCTAGGTAATTTTATTTTATCTCATACTGGATTTGTATCTATGCAAACTACTGAGAAAGTTGTGAATCACGCAGTTGTTGACATAGTATTATCAGAATAATGACAGGATTGTGTGGCTTACCTGTGGCTTTGCAGATAAATGCACTCTAGATTATTCATTCATTGCATTCTAACTATCTATGCCAACTATTGAGAAAGTTGTGAATCATCCAGTGAGCAGGCACAGGATCACAATAAATGATCTCCTGATGCATGGCTCCTGCCTCATGGATGTCACTTGACCCGACCACAAGATCTCAAGGCGATCTCAAGGCGATATCAGGCTTCTGGCCCTTTAAAAGCAGAGCCCAAGCTTTCCCCTCCGCAGCACTGAAACACTGAAGGAGCTCCATACCATATAGCTTCCTCCTCTTGTTGAATGCACTAGTGAGGCGCTCGCTATCAAATCGGAGTTCTAGGGGCTCGTTCAACCCGAAAAAAAGGCTTTTGGAGGCGGCAGGTGGCCAGATGACACCGCTGCGCAGCTTGCAGTATCTTTCACCGGGAGTTTACTCAGCAGCGAGGCCGAAGGAGGAGCGAGGAGGCTCGGGCACGCTGCATCTATCCACACCCAGGTCCGCTGTAGCAGCTGAGTAAACTGAGCAGACCTGTTTGCATTGCTCTCACAATTTCCCTGCAGAAACATACATACTATCAGAATTAAGGGTAAAAAATAGTCCCGCTGCAGGAGAGCGTGCAGGGAGATCCCGACGCGTAAAATGGTTGGAGATGACAAAGCCTTGGCGGGGAATGGGAGGCAGAGAGGGGGGGGGCATGATAAGCGTGCACCCTCTTCCCACTTTTTTTTTTGCATCATTTCTGCATGTAATGACAGTCGCCATGCACGGCGGGTCTTCTCCTCTCCTGTGTTACATATGTACAGGTTGCTGATAACATAACACACGGTGTGTTTGTTCGCCATTGTGCATCCCTCAGCACATTCATTATACACAGGGGGGTCCCGTGGGCGTGTGTGTGCATTGACGGTACCTGCATAATAATACTGAAAGACAAGGGGGGGGAGGTGTTTATACCGGGAAACGTCATTGAAACGACCGCTCCGACTTCAGCACACATCAGCACAGAGTAGCCTATCCTCTAGTCCTGATTGGGAGCCTTTTGAACCTCGTCCGTCTGTGTGTGTGTCTCTCTCCCACTATCTCCCCCCTTCTCTCTGTCTCTCACCACCTCTCCACTGACACTCACCCAGCCTCGCCTCTCTCCCATCACTCTAACGGTGCAGGACCTGCGTGCTCGTCCGGAGGATACCGAAAGGCAGATGATGAGATGTCCGGGACTACTTCCCAGGCGGATCCGGTAGACGCCACCGCCCGATCGGTGCTGCTCAACGGGACACAGACCACCAAGTTCTGCGACAACCATGTCAGGTGAGTGGGCTTTCACTGCATGTTGTGTGCCTGAAATGCTCTGTTTTCACCTACTACTACATCATGCTTTGTAAACCGCATGGAGAGTAGATCAAAACGTATCTGACTTTTATTTTCGGTTCATTCTGAGGTGGTGATAAGTGTGTCAACTTCAGTTTCAGTAGTATTTAGAGTATTTCAATTGTTGCTACTTTGTACTTCTACCCCACTACAATTCAAAGGTACATCAGGTGATTTTACTCCACTACATAAATGAACAGCTTTAGCTACTTTGCATAAAATATGTCTAAAACTGTCACCAAGTCATTTAAATATTTTACAAAGACTCTACAGTAAAATGCTACTACAATATTATCCAGACACATATACAATTTATAAACACATAAAACACAACTTTTCTGCACAACTTTTACTAAGTACATTTTGCTGATTGATATGATGCTTGGTAGCAAACAGCCGGTCGAGTAGATGAAAAGTTATCTGACACTTTTTCATTATTGTCTGTTTATTCAGAGGTGGTGATAAGCTCTCTGAGTGTGTTAACTTCACTTCCAGTATTTGGGTCAGCAGGGTCAGCTTCTTCTGTGTCTTCCTAAAGGACACTGCAGCTTTCTGGATATTTGCTTTAGAGCGGCTTTACACCCGTATTGCCAGGTTGAAGGACATCCTTGTATGTTTTTCCTCCCGTCATGCCATGTGTGGAGAGCAGACTTTGGACCACTGAGGATTAGCTTTTTCTCTCTCCCTTAAACATGTCTCTCTTTCTTCTAGTTTTGCTTTAAATCGCAGGTCAAGCTCTATTGATAAGGCTTTTTTAATAAGTCACCGATTACTACACCTATGACCTAGGAGGTATGTCTCTGCCTGAAGTCCATTTGGGAATCTCGGCTTAACAACTTTACATAACTGTGTTGCTTAATCAAATGTCCTAATGAATATTCAAGATCAATGAGAGTAAAGTAACCACACTTGCCTGTTTATTTCAGAAAGCTGTGTGTGTGATTTCTGAATCCTAGGAGGTTTAATACTTGTAGTCAGGACTTTTTGTGGTATAAAGTGGAATACTAAGTCTTGAAACACAACAGCAAAACGGCGGTAAAAAAATGACTTGGCATAAGACGGTTGGATATTTACACCCCTCACCAGCCAAACACTATAGTAATCTATTAAGTGTTGGTCAAATTTGAACATATAACAGCCATTTAGGTGGTGTTACCAAAAAGTTTATTTTTCAGCCTCTAGGCAGTCATGAGCAGTGTCATACTAAAGTGAAGAAGTCTCTTTTTATAAGTATCATCCTAAGTATTGTCTGTATATTTCATGGGTTGTTTTAGGCCGTAACTATTGTATTTACAGTAGGGATGTCTCGATCACCTTTTTTTGCTCCCGATCCGATTCCGATCATTTGATTTTGACAATTTTGCCGATACCGATTTTTCCCAATCCGATCTTTATGCAATGCATTAAGAGAAAAAAAACATTCAAGTTGTCCCTTAAGGTTATTTTTTTATTTAAATTGGATATTCTATCCAACATGGATATAGCTTCTTTTTTTCACAGCAGCATTGGATCAGTTCAGTTGTGCAGCATTGGATCAAAACAAAATAAAGCTTTCAGTACTCGTTAGCTTACTGCTACAATTAGACACTGCGCCCACTCTGTTGCCAGATTTGAGAGAAATAAGCAGGTCTATGAAGACAAGCCCCAAAGAAGCAACACATACATGATGTTGTGTCATTTGAAACCAAAACTAAGGCCTCAGGATGACTTTAAGACTTGAACATGGTCATTTTTGTTTTGTAACATTGAATACAACATTAAAATTTAAAAAAAAAAAAAAAATCCTGATCCCCGATTTTTTTTATTCCGATCTTTTGAAAATCACGTGATCGGCTCTGATCCCCGATCACGTGATCGGATCGGGACATCTCTAATTTACAGTTTAAATTAGACGGTTTAATTTGTCCCATGTCTTTATCTTTTATTATTCCTATTTGTATGCACTTACTGTGCTTGGCGCCATAGGGCTGTTCTGTGAGTTGAAGGATTGTCATTGACATTCAGCGGTCTGCCATTTACTGTCAGGAGATTTCATTTCACTTTTCAACAGAGCCTATTTGAACTCTAGGGATAAGATTAAGGTGAGTGCTCCCTGGCTTCTCTCATTGGGTCACATGTGCCCTGCGCTGCATGCTGATTGGACAGCCAGGAGCACTCTGATGTCCCTGTGTTCCTGTAACTCTTTAGTTTACGTTTGAAAGGTTCAATAGCATTATTGATTTCTCAGAGATTAAAGCCTTGTAGCTTTTATCTGTGTACTCGACTGGCCTCCTCTCAAATCCCTAGGCCTTCCACACTTTCATATTTCACTGTGGATGTGTTGATACAAACTGAATGTTAGTGCAGCAAAGTCATCTGCTCTTTTATCCTTCAAATCTACTTACCTTGGTTTGCTCATTGTGTTCTTCCACTTAGGGGGATGACTTCTCCCTGTCTTCAAAAGTGTTTTCTTTCAGCCTATATAAAGAAAACAGAACTTTCCCTTATTCAAAAACATGTCAATGCGGCACAGCTGCAGGAGAGCCTCCCCCCTGTAGCTAACAGCTGCTTACACCACCAGTATGTTGGACGTCTACAGAATGAAAAATAACACACAGCTCGATGCCCGCTCCAATGGAAACGTGTGTGTTTGTGCGTGTGTGAAATGTGATATCACTTGACTTTGATTAGATTAAGGCAGCTTTATCTACTGGATCGTAGGTGTAGTATCACCAATTCTGAGCTATGCAAAGCGTCGGGGTCAGGACTGTGTGTGTGTGTGTGTGTGTGTGTGTGTGTGTGTGTGTGTGTGTGTGTGTGTGTGTGTGTGTGTGTGTGTGTGTGTGTGTGTGTGTGTGTGTGTGTGTGTGTGTGTGTGTGTGGCAGCTGTTGCTACTCGGCTTGTGTGTAAAGTCGTGCTCTTAGTTTTTTGTGTGTGTGGGTGAGACGGATGGAAAAAGCGGTTCACCTCATGGAGATTCTGGACTGTGATAGGAGGGTTACTTTTTACCCATTTGGTCAATGCACTTGATGCACTCACTTTCCATTAAATAAACACTCTTACCATTCACTCAGTCTGCACAGGAAATAAAAAGGCAGTCCTTTAATTGGATGTGGACTTTTATTTTTGTATTTTTAGCGCCTTGAAAAGCTTTTAGCTCCTGGCTAAAACGAAGCCAATCAATACAGCTGTCTGATCAATACAGCTGACTGACAGACGAGTTGAGGTGGCCAAGGTTTTTTCACCTATTTTATACGTCTAAATTTGGTTTGCTGGATTTAAAGTATTTGATTATTTATAGGTGTGATGTGTGTGCACCCCATCATGGCACTCAATTTGCCCTCTGGACTACAAGTCAGTGTTTGCTGCAATATTGAAACCCAAATGGATTCAGTTACTCAGAGAGCGTCAGGTGAAAACACCATTAGCACACAATTTATGCATGAATTCAAACTTTAGCTAATGCATTACCTGACTCTGTCTCCATCTGTCTCATTGTAAACAAGTCGTAAAGTCTTTTCTTCTTCTTCTCTTCTGCAGTACCACCAAGTATGGAGTCCTCACCTTCCTGCCCCGGTTCCTCTATGAGCAGATCAGGCGCGCTGCCAACGCCTTCTTCCTGTTCATCGCTCTCATGCAGGTAAACCCCACGCACAGTGATCGCCGCTGATTCCCACACACGCTGTAGATGACACATCCTGAAAATGTTGTATTAAAACATTCCAGGAATCCCACAAGCTATTATGAGTTATGGATTATTGAGTATTTCTCTACATGCCTAAAGCTAGTATTTGGTACATTTCCTCCAGGTCTTATTCGGGAATATCTGGGAAGTCCATTCTCTCTGCATTGGAAAGCCCCCAGATGCACTTCCTGGAAGAGCCTTTCAATGTGTAACAGATTGTTTTCAAGGTGTAAATGATTGAGCATTTCTTTTAAACCAGAGAGTGTGGGATGGTAGTTTTGGTGATTTCCATCTTGTTAGTAATAGACGTCTTGACAATAATGTTACAACGGCTCCCAGGTCCAAAGGCAGCTGAGCGATGACATGTGTACCTCATCAGTCATCATCAATCATAGGAGATAATGCCTCCCTGCTATCTTAATCCCCATGAATGGGAGCAGATGATGGATGCTTGTTTTGTTTATCCCTCTGTTATCTTCATTTTTTTATTTATATATTTATTTATTTATTTGATAGGGACAGTGCACATTGATTGACATTTCTGTAAATACACCAGAGTTAGCCAACAGGCTATTTTTCGTCTGTAGTCCCTGGACAGATGTTGAAAGTCATCCTAAAAACAAAAATTCACTTCAAATAACAGGTAAATAAACGCTGCACTGCTTTCCAACACGGCTCTGCCCCTCCCCCTCCCCCCCCCATCAAAGATTAATCACATTCAGAACACTCATTCATTATCCTCCACCTCCTTCCTGTTCTCATGTTTCCCTGAGGATCTCTGTAGTGCTAACACCAGCACTGATAACTCTCTTATCAGCAAATCCCCGATGTGTCGCCGACGGGTCGCTACACCACGCTGGTCCCGCTCATCTTCATCCTCACTGTGGCCGGGATCAAGGAGATCATTGAGGACTATGTGAGTGTCTTTCACAGAAGGGACTACTTTTTGTATTTAAAGTATTTGTAATCATGTGATGATGTTATGTCAGATGTGCCACAACACTGTCTGTAAATATTAATCTTTGTGCAATATACCCTCATGCAATTCACAATTATTTTTCCTTTCAATTAATTTACAATCTGTAAACGGTACCAGCTACCCTTTTTTCCATCAAAGCACATTACACAAATGTATAACCCAACAACAACAAATATTAAAGGTCCCGTGTCATGCTTTTCCGGTTATTACCCGTCCCCTTGTGTGTTATGAAGGTTTTTATGCATGTAAACGGTCTGCAGAGTCAAAACCCTCAAAGTACACCCTGTAGCAAGTAAAACTCTAAACACCGAAAATACCTCCCCAAAACGCCTCGTTGGAGATACGTCATTGTCCATTGATTCTTCCGGGTACCGCATGATGTCATGCGTTACCCGGAACCAAATGGACCAATCCGTGGAGCCGTTACGTTACGTCCGCGGAGCCGTTACGTTAAGCCCCCGCTGATTGGTCCAAATTGACCAATCCACGGACTTCCTCACACACACACTCAGTGCAGGCAGCTCTGCTGATCTCTCCTCCCTGGCTGCAGGCTGATAACAGACAGTTGGGATCGCGGCTAAATTCTCTCTGCAGACCCATTCTCTCTGCAGACCCATTCTCACAGCGTTTATCAACCTTTTTCTTACTCAATATCAAGCCACACTTATTGTTTTTACTTCGGCTGTGACTTTGTGTGTGCTCAGGGTGAGTTTGGCTGTGTTTCGCTGTCGCTAAACAAGGAAACCACACCTCCACGGAGCTCAGCGCGATTCACAACGTCCCGACCAATCAGAGCACACTGTGCTCACAGGGAGGGTGGGGGCTGGAGCTATTGGAGCTACAATGAGCCGTTAAAGGCAGAGTGTGAAATTCAGTGAGAAACCGAAGTGATTTTGGAAAATTGCACAATATAAATCTATTCTAGTAGAACTCAACAATGGAATTATGATCAGTGGAAATGGCCATGACATGGGATCTTTAATAAATATACTACTACTTTTTTCAACCTGGTGTACTTGTATGCTTTTTTTTTTTTTTACTTATTGTGTTTTTTATTATTAATATTGTGTTCATACTTTAGATTTTTTAATATGTAAGTCTATTCTCTTTACTTACTTCTTCTGCTGTTGTGATAATGTACATTTCCCCTGTGCGGGACGAATACAGGAAATCTGGTTCTGATATATTAAAAGCTGCTTCTTCTGCGTTTTAACAGAAAAGACACAAAGCAGACAACACCGTGAACAACAAGACAACAATAGGTATGCGTGTGTGTGTGCTCGTCGTCTGTCTGTGAGTTTTTCATGAGTGGGTCTATTCCTGTGGGTTTTCCTTTCATGGCTGACTGAATGGCTGTTGTCTGTCACTCACTATAGTTCGAGGCCCAGACAAAAAAGTTTAGTGGCCATGAATTGTGTATGAGTGTGGCTCTATAGGCTGACTGATGGCTGTGTTGTCCTTGTCTCTCAGTGCTGCGGAGCGGAGCCTGGCAGACCATCATCTGGAAACAGGTATCATCACACTCTGCTTCTCTGTCGCTCTCTCATCCGTCCAATGACTCAGTTTTACCATTGACTTAAATACTTAAAGAGGCCCTATTGTGCTTTTTAAGGTGACCTCATGTTCTGTTGCGGCCTGCCAGGCTTGTTTTTAATCAATTTAAAGCACTTTGTTTTGAAAAGGGCTCTATAAATAAGTGTATTATATCAAAATGATTGTAAAGGAATACTGCAAGGGCACCTAGGGTAGATGGTGAAAGCAAACACATTAATGTAATAAAAGTATGGTCTAGTTTTAGTTACATTGGGGATTAAAATGTCTTGGCTGGTTAAGTTATTCCATATTTTCTTCCTTTTGTGGCTGCACTGTAGTCTCTCAGTCTGCGCTTGCTCAGGATCTGTCTGTAAAATGATACCAGTCCAGTTAGTATTGACGTTTCAGAGCCAGATAACAAGTGAGTTAGTGGGCAATCTTTCCAATATTCCACATAGTTGAATTATATAGTTTTCTGCACTTCCTCTGAACCAGTAAGCGTTTTCTTCCGGTGTCCGGAGCTAAATGAACCCCCTGTTCTCACAGAACAATGCACGTCCACTGTGTGTCCTTGTAGCGCACACAACCATTTTCTCTAGATGGGGTCTCTCTTAGATTGTACTCATTAACCGAGTCAAGCTGTGTACAGTCTTGCTCCAGCAGCTCAAATCAAATCAGACTTGAGTCTTTGTTGTTTAGTCTACAGCAGGAATGTAGCCCCCTTGTTACTCAAGGTCAGAAAAGGTGGAGGAATTTGTTCCAGCTGCCCCGCTGACTCAATAAAGTCCATGTTAAGAGAGGTGGTGACAAGATGTCCTTAAAATGCTCTCTTTTTTTGAACACATCATTTTATTTTCCTTTTCTGTTATCTACATGCTTGTATTATTATTATTTTTGCCTGTCTTGCTTTGGTTGCAGCCTAATCAAAAGAGTTAAAGCTACGCACCGCTGTGCTCCCTGTCACCTTATCTCAAGACTTCCTCTCTCTCTGTTGGCTGCCTCTAGGTTGGCCACTAAATAACCTGCTTCTTGTTTCCTCTCTCCCCCCCTTACCCCTTCCATGACCCCTTACCTTACCCTTGACTCCCCTCCTTCTCCTTCTCTTCACCTCCTTCCTCTCACGCTGTTGCACTGCTGCGTCCGGCCACCAGGTGGCAGTAGGAGACATAGTGAAGGTGACCAATGGCCAGCACCTTCCAGCTGACATGGTCATTGTGTCCTCCAGGTCAGACGTGTGTGTGTGTGTGTGTGTGTGTGTGTGTGTGTGTGTGTGTGTGTGTGTGTGTGTGTGTGTGTGTCTAACTTCTAATTATTTTCATAATCAGTCTTCTGATTTATCTATTGGTATTGTGAATTCTAATTCTAGATTGCAAGAACCTAAGGTACTATCTGAAACAGTCAGTTATTATTAAGTCAATGGATTTAATATTTTATATTCTAAATGCTCATTGACTGATTTCCTGTTGGTTGATGTCTAACTAACTTTTAGCACTTCAATATTTTGATGTGTCTTGTCCACAGCGAGCCGCAGGCCATGTGTTACACTGAGACGTCCAACCTGGATGGAGAAACCAACCTGAAGATCAGACAGGTAAGAAACATCGCTATGTTTGTAAGTTTCTCAATGCATGGTCAGAGAGGAAATTCTCCCCCTATTTACATTTTGGCAAAGAAATGTAATACTTCTCCTCACACGCCTGATATTTGCCTCCACTTGGGTCTTCTATCCATCATGTTTATTACAGTTTGACCCGTTTTGAATTATGATCCATGATTTACGGTAATGTACTCTGTTCTAATCCTGTTTGTCAAAGGTACTCCATCAAAAAACTTTCCTTGATTTGTGACTTATGATTTTATTTCCCAGGGTCTCTCGCTCACGGCTACCTATCAGACCCTGGAGGATTTGATTGGTCTGTCTGGTCGTCTGGAGTGTGAAGGCCCCAACAGACACCTGTACGACTTCACTGGGACTCTGCGGCTGGAGAACCAGAAGTGAGAGACACACACACACACACACACACACACACACACACACACACACACACACACACACACACACACACACACACAGTTATTTTTTCTAACTTGAAAGTCAAGAGTATTAAAAATAAAAGTATGTTTGTATAAAACTGGCCAAGAGAGGAGGATACATCTATATAAATATCATAGATGTTTAAAGTCTTGCCCAGCCGTTCATACAGCAAAAGAATTACATAAATTAGGAATTTATGAGAACAATTAAAGCTTGAGAAGTGACTAGATAAGAAGGACTCAGCAGGTTGCTCTAAATCTGCATGAATGTCTCCTGTGTTGTTGCTGATTACCTCCCTCTCTCCCCTCAGTCCCGCTCCTCTGGGTCCCGACCAGGTGTTGCTGCGCGGCGCTCAGCTTAGAAACACGCAGTGGGTTGTGGGAATTATTGTCTACACTGGCCATGACTCTAAACTGATGCAGGTAAACCCAACCTGATGTCTGAATTCAGTAAATGATTTACAATGTGTGGCTTCAAGGCAGGTTTAATAAGAATCTGTCTTACTTACTAATGAACTGCATATGAATCATTTGGAGCTTGTAACTGAGTGACACATTAATAACCGGGAGCACATCCAAGTCTCTGTGTTTGGATTGCTGACAGATTTGTGTGCCAAATATGATTTGTAAATGAGTATGACACATTTTAATTAGTGTTGAGTGTTGAAAAGGCTGCTGCGATTGACTTCTTCCCAGTGAAACCATTGACGTTCCATTTAAACTGAACCCTCATCCAGCGACATCTTAATGTGAGTGTGCTTGTGTTGTATTCATTGTTGCAGAACTCCACCAAGGCCCCTCTGAAGCGCTCTAACGTGGAGCGGGTCACCAACATGCATATCCTGGTCCTGTTCTGCATCCTGCTGGTCATGGCCCTGATCAGCTCTGTGGGCGCCGCCATCTGGAACAAACAACACACCGAAGAGTCCTGCTGGTACCTGAACCGGGCCGGTGAGAACACACACACACACACACACACACACACACACACACACACACACACACACACACACACACACACACACACACACACACACACACACATGATCATTGTCGACCGGCTTTGTAGTCGTCTCTGGAAGGTGTGCGCTGGGTGTGCGCTGGGATTGGAGCTCGTCGGGCCCGGCGTGCTCCAATCACAATCTTCGGGGGCGGAACAGGAGATGGGTAGCCAATGACACCAGGGCAACTGCACTGCTCATTTACATAGAACACATTCAAAACAGAGTTAACAGGACCGGGGAGGCAGCGGCCGTAACACACGCACACGCACACGCACATTTCACCAGAGGAGGAGGAGGAAGTACTCAGGTCTTGTACTTCAGTAAAAGTAGAAGTACCAGAGTGGATTTGTAATAGAAAAATATTATACTCACTTACTTAAAGGTGGGGTGGGTAAGTTTGAGAAACTGGCTCGAGATACACTTTTAGTTATATTCCATGGAATGCTCTAAACATCCCGATAGCAATGAATATCTGAAGTGGAAGCCGTAGTACTGTAAAAAGCACGACCAATCATCTGAGCCGGCCCGGCTAAAGTAACTGGATGGCCTACCTGCCTGTCAGCCTTCCATCTGTGCACAAACTTATCTCTTGCCCTCATTGGTCATGTGCGCGTTAGTGTGTGTTGGAGGAGGGGCTCTGTAAGGAAGTGGCAGACTT